TATCAAGTGCCATGTCCTCGAAAATTTGAAGCCTCGCCATATCCTGCCTGATTACCTCCCCCAATACTTCTTAGGCGGCCCTCTACCTCTTCTCGTGCGCTCTACAACCAGCCGTTAGCACCTCCTTATCGGAGAATCTAGGCTTCTCCTCTGAACATGCCCGAACCATCTGAGCCTCGCTTCCCGCATCTTGTCATCAATGGGAGCCACGGACACCTTCTCCCGAATATCATCATTCCTAATCTTATCCATCCTAGTATGCCCGCACATCCACCTCAACATCCTCATTTCTGCTACCTTCATCTTCTGGATATATGACTTCTTAACAGGCCAACACTCAGCCCCAAACATCATGGCCGGTCTAACCACCGCTTTATAGAACTTACCTTTGAGTATCAGTGGCACTCTCTTGTCGTACAATACTCCAGATGCTAACCTCCACTTCATCCATCCTACCCCAATGCGGTGTGTGGCATCCTCGTCGATCTCCCTCCCCCCTGGATAACCGACCCAAGGTACTTGAAGCTGCCTCTACTCGGGATGACCTGTGATTCAAGCCTCACATCCACGCCCATTTCCCCCTGCTCGACACTGAACTTACACTCCAGGTGGTATGGGCAAAGTGAACGATTGGTTCGATGCTTGTTTGATCTTGTCCGTGCTCATGCTCCAAGTACAATTTTCATTGATGAGATTGATTCTTGTTAGGATGTGATAATGTTGTGAAGTTGTAGGACTCTAGATATGCATAACAACCTAGTATAGTTGTACACGTTTTGTATATATTTGTTGTTATCTCTATTGTAACTTTCTAATATAAATACAAAGCCAGGCAGCAGCTAATGCGAAGTTTCGGCATTGTAAAACTCTACTCTACTATTAGTCTTTGTCTCTCAAGACTTCTCTTTCATCATGGTATGAGAGCCGGACTCATCCCAATTCTTTGTTAATGGACCTTGGGCCTAACTCAACCCCAAAAGCTAGCTCATGAGGTGAGGATTGCCCAAGCCATATAAGGAGACCAAGTCCCCCATCCCTTAACTGATATGGGAGACTCAACAATTCTCTTTGCAGTGCCAACAAAATTAGAGTCCGTTTGGATTAGCTGATTGTAAACTGCTGATAAGCTTGAAGTGCTGAAAAGCTTTTTTTAAGTGCTGGAACTGATTTTTTTAATTAAGTATTTACGTGTTTGGATAGACGTGCTGAAACTGATAATAAGCAGTTGATGTGTTTGGCGGAAAAGTGCTGATAAGTTGTTCTTTTATTAAAAGGACTAAAATACCCTTAATTTTTGATAAAAGATTATAAATATTAAAAAGTTTCTTTGTAAAGAAAAGGATGAACTACGAATATGGAACAAAGAGAAAGTCAGAAAATTTATTTTGAGAAAAATATATTGTGAATCAAAAATATTATTAAGAATAAACTAGTAAAAGTCTTGGTCAAAATAAAAGTGCTAATAAGCTGAAAAGCCATAAGTTGGGGGTGACCAGCTTATGACTTATGGCTGATTTTAGCTTATAAGCATTTGACCTATAAGCACTTGGGGTATTTACCAAACGCGTAGATAAATCAAAACGTGCTTATAAGCCAGTTTGACCAGCTTATAAGCTTAGCCAAACACCCTCTTAAACTCCTCATTGTCTTGCTGTTGAGTAAGGTTTATTTCATATCACTATGGATATATTTGACTTCTATGCAAACATGTCACGTGTTTGCACGTCCTTCTTATCGTTGGCAGAGCCATGAATTCTAACAAGGGAATTTGAATTTTTTTTGGAGTGCCACAAAATGGGATTCAAACCGACAAGCTAAAGCAATCTAGAAGTTTCCCTTATGTCAAGGGATTCAACAATTTTATACATATATTTGTAGGGGAAAGTGCACGGTTAGCCACTAATAATACATGTATTTACTTTTAAGTCACTGTTTAAAATATCTTTAGTCTTTAGCCACTGCTTTAATAAACTTTAGCTGCCCGGACGAAAATACCCTTCTGCTCATGTCCTTAACTTTTGAACTTAACTTCAGTACTTCAGGACTACATGTCCTTAACTTTTGAACTTGGAACTCTAAGTTGAGGACTTCAGGACTACATGTCCTTAATTTTTGAACTTGTAACTGTAAGTTTAGGACCAAATGTCCTTAACTTTTGAGCTTGTTAGTCTAAGTTCAGGACCTATTGTCCTTAACTTTTGGGCTTCTTAGCCTAAGTTCAGGACCCATTGTCCTTAACTTTTGAGCTTTTTAGTCTAAGTTCAGGACTTCAAGACCTATTGTCCTTAATTTTTGAACTTGTAACTGTAAGTTCAGGACCTATTGTCCTTAACTTTTGGGCTTCTTACAATAAGTTCAGGACCTATTGTCCTTAACTTTTGAGCTTGTTAGTCTAAGTTCAGGGCTTCAGGACCTATTGTCCTTAACTTTTGAACTTGTAACTATAAGTTCAGGACCTATTGTCCTTAACTTTTGAGCTTGTTAGTCTAAGTTCAGGACCAAGTGTCCTTATCTTTTGAACTTGTAATTCTAAGTTCAGGACCAAGTGTCCTTAACTTTTGAACTTAGAACTGGAAGTTCAGGACCAAGTGTCCTTAACTTTTGAGTGTTTGGACATTACCAAGAGTGTAATTCGTATTTATTGGATTGAAGGGACACAATGTCGAGCAGCTTTGGAGATGGATAAGCGACGAGATCGGATGAAGAAGGTTTTGGAGGCATCTATGGAGGAAACAAAGAGGATGAAGAAAAGATAATCCATGGAAAAGCCCCTGGTAATGGTTTATGTTCTATATTTATCTTCTTGCTCTTAATATGTCTTCTAATGTCAATTCATCTATTTTTTTTATTGATAAAATAGAGTATGATACTAATCAAGGAAGTGAAGTCAAAGAGAAGGAGAAGGCACGTAATCAGCGTCAAGCAGCATGAAGAAAACTGCCATTCTTGTTTAGAAGAAAGGGTAACACAGTTTTTTCATATTAATTTTAATAGACTAGTGGCTACTATTGCTAAGCATTGAAAATGCTGGATAAAAAGTAAATACCACTTTAAAAAGTGCTATCCCACACAATTTTTACTATATTTGTATGTAGAAAGTTTTCACCTATATATACAATATAATTGCTTAGCTAAAGAAATTCAATTGAACCGCCTTCAGACCATGTAGCTCCGCCTATGCTTGTGCCTAGACTTTCAATAATCTAACAGAACATGATTGTGGATTCAATTATCTGAAGTTAAATTGTTTAATCCTAGTGCTAAAACTTCATCAACTCTGCAACTGAATTTCTCAGGCCTTCTGGAGAGCATGAAGTATCGAGAAAGGTGAAGGCTGAATTTCTAATTCAATTAGATGATTAAACAACTCCACTAATAAAACTGCAGGTAAACTTGTGATGCTTTTAGCAGCAACTAGGGGTGGAAAAATGGTTAAAAGAAAACAGTTAACAACCCATATTATCCACTAAAATATGGGTTGGATAATGAACTTTTTAAAAACGGGTCAAATATGGCTAAGAATCATATTATCCAATTAGAAAATGAATAACCAATGGGTAACCAATAGGTCTCACTTTTACATTTGTAAAGCCTCAAATTAAGGGTTCCTCAAGTCTGGGAGACTAAGAATCTCCCAAAAGTGATTATATCCAAGAAGTCATGGATAATGTGGTTACCCATATTATCCGCCGGTTAACCCGTTTTTTATCCGGATTAAATATAGGTCGGGTCGGATAATTTATCTGTTTTTTCATTACCCGTTTTCGACTCGAATCATATCTGACCCGACCCGCCCGTTTGCCACTCCTAGCAGTAGGGGTGTCAATGGTTCGGTTCTGCCGGTTATTTTATAAAATTTGTACCATACCAATTATCGGTTATTCTATTATGTATAACCAAAATTACACTTTTCGAAACCGTCCCAATCATGTCGGTTTCTCTTTGGTATCGGTACGGTTCGGTTAATTGTCGGTTATTTTTTTAATATCATGTAAAATTCACCAGTAGAAGTAGAATGCAATAACATACGCTCTTTTATAGGACTTAGCAAAACCCTCTAGACATTTATACTATATAAAGGGTGATGAATTAAAAAAAAAAAGAGAAAAAAAGAAAGGTGGTTAGAGTATAGATCCATCAACTATTCTACAACAACGTAAAAGAAATCAAACAAAGGCAAGGAAAATATATCACACGAGTTGAATGATATACCAAGTTAGGACTCAAGAATAAAGTCTATAGAAGATTAAATACTAAAAAAGATAAATCTAAATTATATGAAAGGAAACATATTCAATACATTGTAGTTTGCTACTCATAATCGCTAGAATACTTTGTGTCTTGCTAATTACTTGAAATAACTTAGTTTAAGTAGTAGTAACATAATAGGTTTTAGGAATTAGTATTTTGAGTTTAATTACTTATTGGCTTGTAATAGTTTTCATAATTCCAAGGCTCAAAGAAAATTTAATGCATTATTATTTTTAAACTTACTAAATAAATATATTTTCCACATGTAAAATTTATTCGGTACGGTTCGGTATTTGTTTGGTTTATTTTTGTAAAAAAAAAAACCTACCCTAATTATCGGTACGGTTATAGATTTATATAAAAACCTACGGTTCCTTAAAATAAAACCTAGAATTCGGTTCGGTGCGGTACGGTTCGGTCGGTTTAGTCGGTTTTCGAATATCCATTGACACCCCTACCTAGCAGCAACAAATTTCCCTTGGAATCTTGATGAGGCACTAAGGTTAGTTTTATTCCTGTTCCTACTCATGTTTGCTTGTTTCTGTTTGTTGAACACATAATTAAATACATAAAAATGGTTAACGGCTTATCTAAACTTTTAGAGGAGAAGGTCATACAATTTAATATTGTCCAATTGATGATAGGAAGCAGCTTGAAAAGCGGATCTACATCTCACTTCCTGATTTTGAGAACCGTAAGGAGCTTATAAAGATAAACTTAAAATCCATCTGGGTAAGCTTACACTTAAAAGTTATTGAGTAAGCTTACACTTACAAATTATGATTTACAATTTCAATCGAGGAACGTAGTGTCGGACAATTATGCCATTCGGAAGAAGTCTTCTACAGAAGAAAATGAAAGCCTCTATCCCTTCGGGGTAGGAGTAAGGTCTGCATACATCCTACCCTCCCCAGACCCCACTAGTGGGATTCTACTGGGTGGTTGTTGTACAAGGAAAAATATACATAGAGATATATACTTGAAGTAGATAGTTTAAGTAAGGTGTGATATATTATTGCAGATTATAGTTCAGTGATAATTGCCATTCTGAATAGAATAATAGGCAGATAGAACAAGAAATAAATGTAAAAAAAATACTAATCAGAGAGCTTATGGTTACATCTCAATGGAATTTTTAAGTTCTTAGAAAGAAAAGGAAAGGTGATAATGTTTAATTAAATCCTCACGAACTTTTATTTCAAGTCAGTAACTTGAAAGCAAACTTAAATACATTTTTGTTCTCAAGACACTTTTTTTGCTTCTCATCGAGATCAATGAATATGATGTTTATTGCTGCTTGAAATTGAGCAGAACCTTTTTTTTTAATTTAGCAGAATTTTTTGTTGGTACTAATAAACTGTACGTAACATGAATGTCAGTTAGCTCCTGGATTGGATATTGACCAAGTGGCGCGAAGAACAGAAGGTTACAGAGCAGATGATCTTACAAATATATGCAGAGATGCTTCTTTAAATGGGATGAAGCGTAAGATAGCAGAGAATTAAGAGACATGATGAGATTAAGAACATGTCCGAGGATGAAATTTTGAAAATTTCAGTTATAATGGATGACTTCCTAGAAGTTCTAAGTAAAATACAACGCTCAGTCTCTGCAGGGGGACATTGAACGATATAAACAAATGGTCTTCAGAATTTGGATCAACCTAGCAAATGAAGTAACTTCCATGAAAAACCACATAATTTACTAAAACATTTAGCATTTCTAGGGGTTCTTTTTTCTGTTACTTGGCAAAAGAATCACTTGATTATGTGAGACATTAATGGTCAGATGTCATAGTTCTTCTGTGTTCTTTCTGTTCGGTTCGATCTATCTATTTTGACGTTATTGATTTTCTTCTTTTTGGGTGTAATGGAAGGCTCACTAGTGGTTTGGTTATAAATTATAATAATACTGTGGACATTGGACAATCTACTAGAATCTGATTCAAGTTTAACCCAGAAGAAAAAGGAGCAGAAAAGGATCACTATATTTGCTGATGTCTTACAATCAACAAGCTTTTCCTTCACATTGTAAAATATTTAGGAAAGATGTAAGTGCATTTTTTCATCCCAAACTTTTTTTTCCTGCCTAATATTGCCTCAGGATTAAGTAAGTATTTCAAGCCTCTAAGCGGAGACTACAATAACAACCACTGAAATATCACAAGTGAGATCTGAGGAGGATAGTGTGTACGGAGACCTTACCCTAGAGTGGAGACAAATTCATGTAATACCAATGTATAAAACAAAGAAATGAACCCATTTTTCGACATGCTTTGATCAAATTTAGCCCCCTATTGCACGAGTGTCTTCTTATATCACTAGCCTTTTAATTTTTTTATCAACTGAAAAGCTAATTGGAGTAGGCTTTCTACGGGTAAGTATTTACGTCCTTCCAACAACTGATGGGAAACACTCGGTGTTAGTGTATGATCAAGTAGAGTAATTGAAAGTCCTATTACATCGAAGGCCAAATGAAAAGGGCAGCATAAAGGAGGCTTGTTAAGAGAGGCGGCAAATTAGGCCGAGGAAGGGTGGAATGACCTGAACAAGAGCGGGTCGATCAGATTGAACGAGGGATGAAAGGATGTTCTGGTATTCAAATTATTTGTATGTAGGAGTAGGACTATACAATGATGAAAGCAAAGTGGCTTAATTATGGCATGAATGAAATTTGTCTCCCTTGACTTGATCTTTTACTGTAGTTAAAAGGCAAGATGAGTTAGGTGTTTGTCCTTATTTTCTTATTAAATTTGGTTTTTTTATTTCTTGAAAGAAAAACAACATATTTACCAAAATTGATTTTTTCTTTTACGAAAAGGAAAATATAATTCTTCCATATTTGTCTTGTTATTTTTCTTGGAGGAAAAGGTTTTTGACTTCTATAAATTAAGTGTTGGCCCAAGTGAAGGCTAGTTTTGAAGATTGACAAAGGAAGCTCAGGCATGAACCAAGTCCATCCCTTGTGGTGCATAGAAACGGGCAGATTCGAGAATGTGGGATGCACGTGAAGGAGATAAGCTTAACTTGGTATATTTGATATTTCCTGATAGAAAAGGTTGCATAATTGATAAGGAGAAGGACTTCTTACTCAAGAGAACACTGTCCAAGATAGGGAAGGAGTTGGAAGTTGAGATCAACTAGAATTCTTCCACCAAGGAAGAGTAGTATTAGAACTCCAGTTAATCTTTATTTACTAACTCTATAAATATCAGTGTTGTTTTACAGGTAATGCACAAACACAGAAGTTAAACTTGAATTGAGAGCAAAATGGCAAGGCTTTTTGCAAGCAGTTTAGGTGTGATTCAAGTGTGCAAACCTGAAGCTACATGAACCAGATAGAAGAACCAGTTCTAAGTGTCTGTCTTTTATTCTAGTTAAATTGTAGTAGGTGTTTTCATATTGTACCTTTCAGCTTTATCTAGAGGCAATTGTAATAGGTACTCAAAGTATTCAAATTAGAGTTAACTTGAAGTTGTTGCAACAGTTAGAGGCTGGTTGCTACAACGGGATTAGAGTTAATCCTAGGTTTACAAAAATGTTTAGTAAATGCAGTTTTTGGCTCAGTGATTTAGTGAAGAGTTTGGAAAAATCCTACTGGGAAGTAGGTCGTGATTTTTTTTCACCTTTTGAGCCAGGTGTTTTCCACGTAAAATACTTGTGTTCTTTATTTTTCGCATTTACTATTTCTGCAATAGTAGGTTAAGGAACACTTAGAAGAACCAGGTCCTTCCATAATCAGTTTAAGCGAAAAATTAGACACCACAAAAATCACCCCCCCTCTTGTGTGATATTGAAGTATAAAACATCAATTGGTATCAGAGCGGGTTATCCTTGAAGAGGCTAACAACTTAGGAACAGATTAAGATGAGCACACCACCTGGAAACTAGGAAGGGCAATCCACTGCTAGGCTGTGACGACCCAAAGGGTCATCACCTGTTTCCTCATTCATTCTGTGCTTCCGAGGCCTTGAAAACCTCATTTTTACTTGCCTCGATTTGCGTGCGCAGTCCGAGCGCGTAGCCGGAAAGCTTTTATGTTGAAATATGTGAATTCTGTGAAAAATTTGAAGAATTTTGATATTAATATGTTCAAGGTTGACTTCGGTCAACATTTTTGGTAAACGGACTCGGACTCGAGATTGGACGGTCCCGGAGGGTCCGTAGAAAAATATGGGACTCGGGCATGTGCCCGGAGTCGAATTCCGAGGTCTAGAGCCCGATAAATGAATTTTTCTGTGAAATTATTTTTCTGAAATTATTAAGGAAAATGGAAATGAAAATTGATTAAAAGACTGTGGTATCGGGCTCGTATTTTGGTTCCGACGCCCGGTACAAGTCTTAAATATGTGTTAAGCGATTTCTGTAAAGTTTGGTCGAAATCAGACGTCGTTTGACGTGTTTCGGACCTAAATATCTAAAGTTTGAAGTTTATGAAGTTTGAAAGGAAAATGATGATTTTGAGGCTTGATCCAATGATTTTGAGGTTATTTTGGCGATTTGATCGCTCGAGTAAGTTCGTAAGATGTTATTGAGTTAGGTGTGTGATTGGTTAGGAGCCCCGAGGGCTCGGGAGTGTTTTCGGAGGTGTTCGGGGTGGTTTTGGACTTAGGATGATATCAGATTTTCTGCAATTTTTACATAGGGATTTCCTTCTTCGCGATCGCGCTCTTCCCCACGCGATCGCACAGCACTGAGTCGTCTTCCTTCGCGATCGCGTCTTGAACCGCGCGATCGCGTAAGCCAAATCCTTGGACCCCCAGTAGTTCTTCTACGCGATCGCGTAACCCTCCACGCGATCACGATGACCAGTCAGTGGTACCCTTCGCGATCGCATCCCTATTTCCGCGATCGCGTAGGGCAATTTTGCCCAGCGAATTTTTAAGTTAAAAACAGAACAGTAGCACGGGATTTTTCATGAAAACACACGAAACCCTTGCTTCTCCAAGCACTTAGGCGTCCATTGAAGCTCCCTTTCATCAAACCTTCTTGGGTAAGCATTGTTCAACTTGTTTCCTTCAATTTCCTTCATTAATTAGTGAATTCCTAGCCCTAAAAATACGAAATCAAGGTAGAAATTATGGGTTTTGGGTAGAGTTAGGGTTTTGAAAATTTTGGGTGATTCAACCTCAATTTGGGGTCGAATCTTAAAACAAATTATATATTTGCACTCGTGGGGTTATGGGTGATCGGGTTTTGGTCCGAGCCTAGAGTTTGGACCATGTGGGCCCGGTGTCTAATTTTGGTATTTTTGGAATAATGCTAGAAAATTCATATCTAGGCTATGAGAAGTTGCCATTGAGTCTTTATTGATATTGTTGAATTAATTATGCCTAGATATCACTGTATTGGAGGTGGAATCACGAGGTAAAGCGATAGTTGAGGATTAAGTGGATTTCAAGGCTTTGAGGTAAGTGTTTGGTTTAACCCTAGCTTGAGGGAATAGGAGTTGAGTCTTGTTGCTAATTGCTATGTGATCGAGTACGATGTATAGGCATGGTGACGAGTATCTATACATTGGTGTCTAGCATGACCGTGAGTCCTTATAATGTGATTATCATGATTTGGTTGTGAACTCCGTGTTTATTGGAGGATTTCTATATGTTGTGAATAACATGTGAACGGTAATAGGATCATTTGATTCCTGGAGCATTGGCTCGAATTGTGATACGAATATTGAAAGTATACGAAATGACTTGATTCTTTGGAGCGTTGGCTCAAAATAGTAAAGTGAATTATAAGATAAGGAAAGTAAGAAAGAGAAAGCGTTGTTGATTATTCCCTTGTCGGGACGTTTGGTTGAACTTGTTGGATTCTTTCCCTTGCCGGGATGGTTGTCAAATATTTGCTTATTTTATGCCCCTTAATTGTGACTGTTGTTTGGGAAGTCAGACTGTTAAATGATGTTGAGGATCGGGTTGCGCGCCGCAACAATGATGTTGAGGATCGGGTTGCGCGCCGCAACAATAATATATGAGGATCGGGTTGTGCACCGCAAAAATGATATATGATAAGTGATATGGGTCGGGTTGCACGCCGCAACAATGATATTGTGGAGCGGGTTGCACGCCGCAACAATGGTAATTATGGAGCGGGTTGCACGCCGCAACAATTATTGAGGCTATGTGTTTACATTTGAGTATTGATTCCTTGTTCACTGTGAACCTAAGTTGCTTTAGTTGTTACTCTGGATTATTGTTATTATTGTAACTCCCCATAGCATGTTTCCCCTCCCATGTTGGTAATTGCTTTGTATTCGATTTCCGCTGTATATCTATAACTGCACAGGTTTATGTGGTGTCCAGTCTAGCCTCGTCACTACTTCGCCGGGGTTAGGCTAGACACTTACCAGCACATGGGGTCGGTTGTGCTGATGCTACACTTCTGTGCATTTTTGCACAGGTCCAGGTTTTGAGGAACAGCAGCAGCAGTAGTTCGGAAGCAGGCGATTCATATTCACGAGACTGAGGTAGCCTTGCAGGCGTCCGCAGGCCCGGCGTCTCTTCTCATTGTTTTCTTTTAGACTGTTGCCTCCTTGTTTCGAGACAGACAGCTGTTATATTTCTTTCAGACCTTTGTATTTAGTTTATTCTTAGTGGTTCGTGAGTAATGTGACACCAAATCTTGGGTAGAGGTTGTTTTTGACTATTCCGCGTTTTAAATTCATCATTTTAAGACAGACTTCCGCTATTGTTCTTATTAGACTTTATGTTCTATATTGATGTTATAAACTGTTAAAGATAATTGCTAGTGATGGAAAGGTAATTAAGTTGGCTTGCCTAGCTACCACGAGTAGGCGCCATCACGACTCTGATGGTGGGAAATCCGGGTCGTGACAAGTTGGTATCAGAGCACTAGGTTACATAGGTCT